GCACAGAAAGAAAGTAGCTAATGACTGACCAACAATGGTAGAGTAAAAATTAGGGAAATTATATAGCACAACGAATGTGTAATTACATATCCCAGATTTTTTTTTTTTATGGAACAAGCAAACTCAACTTATGAATGGTCCTGCTAACCTGATTTTAAAGTGAAGAATGGGGACACACTATTTTATTCAAGCAATAAATATTTTTAAATTAGCTTAAATTTCATATTATACCCAATAAAAAGAGTTCAAATAAGGGGTTAACAGAGAAAAGCAATAAGAAAACAGAATGGGCTGGAGAAGGGGAAGAGAAAAAAGATGAGAGGGAAAAAGAGAGAAAGAGAGGAAAAAGAAAGTAAGATTCACTCCCAAAAGTGAAAGGAAAAACTAAATAGGTTTTTGAAATGAGTATTAGGTAGATTGCTGGTCACATCCAGCTGCGGGCTTCTGTGGGTCACCAGTGGTTTTAACATGTTAATTTTTTTATAGATGTTCAGTTACTACTTCTTAACCTTCAACCCTGAGATGCTTTGAGGAATTCTCCCCAAGACAGGAAAGTCTTCCCTGGATTCAGTGATAATGCAAAGCCAGTGACGTCAAGCTGATCGGTCAACTATAATTTCCCGGCACTGACTTTAATTCTTAGATCTAATACTTAGCACAGCAGCCACCACACAACAGGTATTTAATAATGTTTGTAGAAAAAAAATGATTCAATGAATATTAGGTGAAGTTAGGGCTATTTAGAGTACTATAAACTTTTTAAGTTGGTATTATGAAAGGTAATCACGGTATCCTACAAAACGTCCACAGTTTACCTGCGGGAAAACCTATATAATATGTTCAAACCCCATCCTGTTTGGTTTTGTGGTTTTTAAGTGTTCAGAAGAAAAAATGTGTGTTTCTTAAGGCCAGGTGGTTGAATGGAGGCATCGTTATCAGAACTAATAAATGGAGAATGCAGTGAGGTAAGTCTCCTGAATTAGAGGCTTTTACTTTTTTCGTTTTGTAAATTCTACCTGTTGGGTCTGGATCTATACAAGAAGTTTCTTTTGGCTACTTTATTCAATAAGTATTTACTCAAAATCAATTGCACAGAAGGCAGCGTGCTTAAGGTGTGATCCAGATAAGTGTAAAAAGTTTTAAGCCTTTTTCAACTGTCTGCTTCAAAAAATCAAAGCCAAAGTTATTTTAGATACTATAATTTTTTAAAGTGGGGATATATTATGATTGTCTTTAAAAACTACTTCTAAAATGCTAGGTATCTTCATTATGCTCTGAAATTTTTTTTCTGCCTTTTTATTTACTCTGAGGATCATAGCAGACCTCCTCTTTGCTCTGGAAGTCTTGAAGCAACCTTTGACCAAAAACAATAAAATCTGATCTAAGAGTGAGCTGCTAGACATGCAGGGGTAAAGCAATATAAAACAAAAGAACTATAAAGGAATTTATAGACTGCATGCTCCAGTTCTGAAAATAGTAGTTTAAAGTCATATGGCCAAAAATTGACACACGAAAGGACTTTTTCATATGAAAGTTAAGAGTTGCTGAAGCTAAGGATAGCTACCAACTGGCCTGGAACTACGGGATAGAAACACTATCACCCCCTAGTGGTGGCCACGTGAAATGCAGCCACAGCACCGCAAAAAAAAACTCACTGACTACCTTTAAGACTGACGTTGTAGCCCTCGATAATTCAGCTCTCATAGAAAAAAAAAATCTGGGCCCATCAGGACCACTTCTCTGATTCACTTTGTCATTTGTTACTTTTTTTTTTTGAGACAGAGTCTTGCTCTGTCACCTGGGCTGAGCTAGAGTGCTGTGGCCTCAGCCTAGCTCACAGCAACCTCAAACTCCTAGGCTCAAGCGATCTTCCAGCCTGGGCCTCCCAGAGTGCCAGGATTATAGGCATGAGCCACCGCGCCCAGCCCTCATTTGTTACTTTTCATGATACTATCAATAAGCTATAAATACTCCTTCAGTCCACAAATACCTTAACCAGCAAGTCTGCAAAGATAACACTGGGTTCCTGTCACATGTTAACCTTGCAAGGCAAAAGCGTTTATGCTCCTTAAGCAGAAATTTCCGAGAACTCATTGAACTTAATGTATCAATAATTTAGCTAAGTGTTGTGAGTTCATGGCCAATTCCTGGGAATAGTGTAAATCAGCATTGAGGATTTCTGTCTGGATACAAAATTTTACAAAGACAAAGAAATGTAGTTGATGTCCCCTACTGAAACTAAAATCAGCAGGTATCAGCCAACACCCTAACTATTTGCTCAAATGACTGTGGGGAAAGACAGCAAACAGGTCAACAAGGCTTTCCGGAAGGTACGCTGAGAAAAGTCACATTTCTGTGGCAGCAGTTCTCAAGGTGTGATCCAAAGGCCTTTGAGGAGACCCAAGACCCTTGAGGTGAATCCGTAAGGTCAAAACTATTATTACAACAATACTAACATGCTATTACCATTTTACTTTCATTGTCTTACAAGTGCGCAGTAGAATGTTCCAGAGACAACGTAACGTGCTATCACAAAGCAGAATAAAGGCACAGATATGAGAATCCAGCTGTTTTCTGTTAAGCCACACATCGAAGAGATTTTTTAATGTAAATCGGTATCAATCTTCTCACTATTTTTTTTTTATTATTTTGGAAAATACAATTTTTTTCATAAAAATACGTTATTTAGCCTGTACATGGTGGCTCAATCCTGTAATCCCAGCACTTTGGGAGGCTGAGGTGGAAGGATCACTTGAGCCCAGGATTTCAAGACAGCCTGGGCAATA